CCCTCCGACAGTGCAGGGCTCCCTCGGCACTGACCCTCCGACAGTGCCCGCTCCCTCGGCAATGACCCTCCGACGGTGTGGCACTCCCTCGGCAATGACCCTCTGACAGTGCCCACTCCCTTGGCACTGACCCTCTGACAGTGCAGCGCTCCATCGGCACTGCATCCTCTGACAGTGTGGCAATTGCTCAGTACTGTAATGGGAATGAAAACAAAAATTTCTGGTGAAACTCTGGGTTCTGAAGAAACTCAAAGCATTAACTCTGCTTTCTTCTCACAGATGCTGCCAGACTTGCTGAGTTTCACAAGCAATTTCTGTTTTTTGTTCCTGATCTCCAACACCCACATTCCTTTGTTTTATTTTACTATAATGGGAATGTCCGTCTGGATAAGTTGCTCGAGTCTTTGTAGTGGTGCTTGAACATATTCCTTCTAATTCTTGTGTGAACATTAGCCTGTGAGCTATATCTGATACACGATTTACATTAGTCTTGATGTGAGAATCACTTGATCTGCATTGGTGATTGGCTTCCAGTGAACTTCCCTTCTTTCAGCTATTTGAACAGTTTAATTCTTGCCTTTTACAGGGCATATGCGAGTGCATCTAAACCATATGGATGCTTATTGGCATAAGACAATCAGAAAGTGTTAATTGGTACATTTCATGAAGTGTCTACTTCACCCTTTGGGTTGTGAATGTTTCGCTGGGAGGCAAGAAATAGAATCGGTTTGGTTCACAAGTTCTGGGGAGGGAATTCAGAGTCCATGTGGTACTTTTCCTCACTGATGTAGCTGAACGAACAGTGCTGATGGTCCAGGAGTGATTTCTTCCACCACCACCCCTGTTGGTGTGGGCCATGATCTCCCACAGATTGAAACATCTGCCATTTTTCTCCTTTCAGGTCCCTTTAGCAGTTCACTAAGCACAGAAGCTGCCCTGAGCATGATCAGCGAACTACGAAATAACCTCAACCTCCTCAAGCAAGAGGAAGAAACCATTCGCAATGGCCTCAATGTCTTCAAGATTGATCAGCCTGTGTCCAAAGAGCTGCAGAGCCTGGAGAAGGTAAGGGAGTGAAATACAGCACAGCCCATTGTGCCTATGCTGGCAGTTTGAAAAGTGTTTCCAATCTGTCCCACTCTCCCAAATCCTCTACCCCACTCCACTCTCCCTCTAGGCCTACACAATTACTGCTATCATATTAATCTGATTCCCTTTGAAATTACTTTCTAAAAATATTCGTTCAGAGGATATGAGCATTGCACATCCCTAATTGCCCTGGAGACCAGTTAGGAATCAACCACATTGGGCATAGAATCAAATATTGCCTGTATCGGGTAAAGGTTGGCGATTTTTTGATTGAAATAAGAACAGTAATTGCTGGAAAATCTCAGCAGGTCTGGGAGCATCTGTGGAGAGGAATCAGAGTTAACGTTTTGGGTCTAGTGACCCTTTTTCAGATCTTTTGGCACAAAAACCAACATTTTCCTAGCTACCATCAGTTCTAAGGAAGGGTCACCAGACCCGAAACGTCAACTCTGATTTCTCTCCACAGATGCTGCCGGACCTGCTGAACTTTTCCAGTAATTTCTGTTATTGTTTCTGATTTCCAGCATCCACGGTTCTTTTGGTTTTTATTTGGAAAGGATTGAAACTGTTTCTGCATTCCATATTACAGCAACTCACTGTTTACATGAAAAACCCACTCCTTTGTCCAACTGTTATTCTCTCTCTTTGGGCTCTATCTCCACCTATCATTTACTCCTTACCCCTTCTCCCCAACCCTATCTTCTGCATATAAACTAATATTTCCCAGCTACCATCAGTTCTGAGGGAGAGTCACTCGACCTGAAACTTTAACTCTGATTTCTCTCTCCACGGACGCTGCCGGACCTGCTAAGCTTTTCCAGCAATTTCTGTTTTTGTTTCTTTTGAACTTTGCTTTTGTTTCTAGGATCTGGATTTCCTGCAGCAAGCCTGGGAGGTCACCAAACAATGGGAGGAATCTTGGGCAGAGTGGAAAGGAGGCAAATTCAGCTCTCTGCAGACACAGGTTATGGAGAACACGGCCATGGGATATTTCAGGAAACTTAACAAGCTGAGCCAGATTCTCAAGGTATTTAGCCCTTTATTTTACAGCCCTAATAGGATATGCATATTGCTGCCAACCCATTTCACAAGTGTGCTTAAAGTTAACATAGGGAGCCTCAGGACCAAAGACTGAAATCCCTTGCACCCTCTAACTATGCCTACCCCTTCCTATTTCAATGAAAATTTCTGATTTATTTCATCAAAGTGTGGCGCAACTCTATCTTCACTGTAACCACCATCAGGTCTTTGCCAACTAGATTTAGTCACCTGGCTCCCTGCCTCAGATGGCCAGCCAATCAGAAGCCAGCAGCCCCTGTGAGTAGCAAAGCCTCCTCAAAGACCAAAGATGCTAGTGTCACGGCATTGCCAAGGCCCCAGGGCAGTGGGCAAGGTTGGTGGCTAATCACAAAGGCAGGTTCGCAGGGTGCATGTCCATACTCTGCAACCCCCAAATTTGTGCCCTCTCAGACTGAGCAGGTAGAGGCCTTTCTACTCCCTCGATCAGATGGCTCTGTTATACCAGTTGGGGAAAAGTGTCTGCCTTCAACAGGATGAATCACGGTGATGTCATGAAGTGACCCTTAAGTCTTTATGAATTGGTTACTCCACACCGTTTGTTGGTGATGTGTTGGAGAGATCCAATATGGTGATGTCTGTACAGAATTTACTTCTTCTCAGGTGGCGGGAAGGGGGTAGGAATCTCCCTGGTACCAGCTCAGATGATTATCTGTCTTTCCTGCCACCCTTCCCACCTCTTGTCAGGAGGAGAATCTCCATTGCTGCTATTATAGGAAACATGCACATAATACATTATGTTCACATTCATATGGATATATCAACTAAACACTTCATTTTTTCTCCATTTGCCCCGATTGTTTTTTCATGCTTTTTTCAACCACACTTGGGTCTTGCGCTACCCACCTCGACCAAACAGAAAGGAAGTTTGGCCAAGCATTTTTTTGGAAGATCATGAGGCTGTTATTTTCATTGCAGCACCAACGTTAGCCAATTCTCTCTCCATCCAAGCATATCATGGTGCTGCATTTGTTGGCTCTGATACTCCAGGAAGTCGAGCAGTTGGTATTCAGCAAAAACACACCCACAAAACCCAAACAGGACTTTAGTTTGCCACAACAATTTGGCTTCTAAATGGACAAAAATCCCCTAGTGCTGGTGCAACAGAATGGAAAGTGAAACCTGCGTAAACAAGCATTCCCATATGGAACCCTGTGGATAGATTCAAACAACATGTATAGCAAATTATACAAAGACAGCTCTGAAGCCACAATGTGTGTTAGATGGATGATGCTTGCATAACCAAAGAGCTTCTTAAAAGAGGCAGGGTAGCACGGTGGCTTAGTGGTTAGCACTGCTGTCTCACAGCTCCAGGGACCTGGGTTCAATTCCACCCTCGGGCGACTGTCTGTGTGGAGTTTGCACATTCTCCCTGTGTCTGTGTGGATTTTCTCCGGTTGCTCCGGTTTCCTCCCACGGTCCAAAGATGTGAAGGTTGGTGTGGATTGGCCATGCTAAATTACCCATAGTGTCCAAAGATGTGCAAGCTGAGTGGGATAGCCATGGGAATGCAGGGTTACAGGGGTGTGGTGGGGGTAGATCTGAGTGGGATGTTCTTTGGAGGGGCAGTGTGGACTCGATGGGCTGAATGGCTTGCTTGTTTCTATGAAATTGAAAGCTCAGCTGGCTGAGAAATGAGCCTAGAGGAAAGCAGAAATGCAGTGTCCAGGTGAGAAACCTGAGTCTTCCTGTGCAGCAGAGATTGCTGTTGTGAGCGTAGAGTGTGTGGATCCTGAGTAACAGCAATTGATGCTGAAATGCAGGAGTCCCAAACCCATGCAAGGAGAATGCACCCGGTATATTCTAATTGTAGTTCCATGGCATTTAGGAGTTGGTGTAGGTTCTGTCCACTCCTGTAAACAGTAACTGTAAGCAGTTACAGGGACTGCCAGGTACAGAGATGGACCGTATGAAAGGCTTGCCTTGGGGTACCGGGGGATTAGTGTGGATTCTGGCTATCCCTATAAACAGTGACTGTAAACCGACGCAGGGGACGGCTGGGTGTGGAGGTGGACTGTATGAAAGGCTCCAGGCACTAACTGCTTTTGCAAAAAAGAAAGCCCCTGTCCTTTACACTTTCCTGGTTCTGATAAAACTAAAATGAACTTCTAAACATCCACTGCAGACTTTGCTTAAAAAGAAAAGCTGATTTATAATCACTCATTCTCTGCATTTATATTCCTTCAACTAAGTAATCTCTTTGACACCCATTTCATTCAACTACGTGATCTCTTATATAAATGGATATTTATATTTATCATCCTACCTCAAAGATGTCATAATTACTTGTAGCTGTCAATAAAATTATGAAGGAGAGGCACCCCCTGTGATAATAGTAGGTTGTGAAATCACTCATGCAGCACAAATCTTCTAAAGCCCTCTGCTTTCTATCAACAGACAATGAAGTAGCAAGCTTATTATTTAAACTACTATTTTTAAAACAAATTCTAAAGACCAGGATATATAAATGCCTAGACAGCTAGACAGTTTCTAGGAGATTTAACTATGACAGCTTGATATTTCCAATGAGTTTATTCACTTTTTACATACAATCATTCTACTTTTTATAATTCCAAAGGGCATCTGACCTCTCCTACAGTTGCACGTGAACCTAAACAAAAAGGTATTCTGCCTCTCAAATAACTCCGGTTGGAGCATCTTCTGAAAAGTGTAAAGCCCATATCGGATATCCCGTTGATGAAAATTGGATCTATTTCAAATCAGCTGCACTACAACTTCCTCTTTAAATCTAATTTTAGACACCCTCAGTTTATCTCCCCACTGGTTCTAGTCCCCCACTGCCCCTATCCCCACCTGATGAAAATAGCAGAAGTCTGGGTAAGCAGGCAAAACTTCAAGACATGGGGCTCTGGCTCCCTTTTAGTTTGCTCGAGATCCTTTCGGTCTTGCAAAAGTTCAGTCTAGAGTTGATGATCAAGGCACAACATAGGAGACAAAAGGCTGATATATTCTGTAACCTTGGGTACTCTAGTGCTTCTGTGTACCAAGCCCTATTAATGTTGAATTCACACGGCCCATTACAAAGTTGTTGTAACACCTTTCGTTGTCAGCATCACTGGTGCTCACCCTTATAACAAGGTTCCTTTCAGTTATCTTCTACACACAAACACATGCACCTACATGTAGACACACACAGACAAGCACATACACACAAGCACACAACACCTGCATACAAATAGACATAGCACATATACACAGGCGCGTACACTCACGCACGCACACAGGCATACTCACCCTCTCACTCTCATGCATGCACACACACACACACACTCTCTTTCTTGCTTACTCTTTCTCGCTCACTCTCTTACTCTCTCTCTCATACACTCACTCACTCACTCGATCACTCACACACACATACACACACTCTCACAGGCGCACACACACTCTCTCACACACACACACTCACACATACACAATCTCTCACACACACACTCACACTCACTCATTCACTCAATCACACTCACTCACTCACTCTCACTCACATAAACACTCTCACTCACTCTCTCTCTCTCACACACACACATTCTCACACACACACGCACATACGCACGCGCACACACACACACGTAGAAATCTCCCCACTACCTCCGGCATTGAATGCACACAAAGTTGTGTCTCAGGAGTGGCAGGTTTCTTGCTCATTAAAGATGCTGAGAAGAGAGTTTCCTATTTGACTGTGGGTTCTTACACTCTGTTTGATTACAGTTTCAAAAATCAGGACATCTATAAACAAAGAACAGAAGATGCCAGTTTCTCAGGTATCTGTAATTTGCAGCTATTGCTGTTCAGAGCAAAAATAGTTAATTGCATGCTTCTGTTATACTTTTTAGGATAAGAATTGGGACATTGTATCTGCATCAAAGAACAAGGTTCAGCAGTTTAAGAAGACAATGCCATTGATTACAGACTTGAGAAATCCAGCCATGCGCGACAGGTGCATTTGGAAAGTCATTCCTCCTTTGTTGTTAACCCTATCATGATTACCCGAGAGAACACAACCCTTCACTTCAGTTGCTAAAACTTCATCTCCCGTTTATCGCCTGTCCAAGGTCAGGCATAGCAATCATCCAGTGGGGCGCAAGAGCCAAAGGGCGAGAAAAGTAGTAAATTGGCTTGGAAGCTATTTATTTATAAGGGAGTTTGCTTCAGTGAAGCCTTGTGACTCCATAATCATGTTTTTCTGTTCTTCAATATTAATGGAGGGAAATCAGAGCTTATTTTCTGACAAATGATTACACAGGTAATTTACCCATAGCTTTTGAAATACAGTCTGTATATTAAACGTTAAAACTGCTCCATTGTCTTTATTCAGAAATCGGAGATATAGTGTGCTTTAAGAATTTTATATTATCTTAGTCAGTCTAGTCATGCCTTCAGTATGAAAAAGCTTGCAATTTTGTGGCATCTTTCAAAATGTCTCAAAGTGCTTTACAGCCAACTAAGTAATTCTAAAACGTAGCCACTGTTGTATTGTGAGAAAAGTGATGGACAAATTTAATACAGTATTCTCCCAAAAACCAAATGATGATGACCCATTCAACTCCTTTTGAGTTATTATGGTTGAGGTAAAGTATTGGCCAAGACACCAGGGATATACTTCCCTGTTTCTCTGTAAGATAGTATCAACAAAGTCTTTTATATTCACCTGAGCAAGCAGATAGGGCCCAGTTTTCTTTCTTTTCAGAAAGAAGACACATCCAACTGTGTGGTGCTTCCTTGATACTGCTTGTCTGACAGTGTGGTGCTCCCTCAGGACACACCTTCCGACAGTGTGGCTGTCCCTCAGTACTGACCCTACAAAAGTGCGGCATTCCTTCACCACTGACCCTGCAGCAGTGCAGCACTCCCATCAGCACTGACCTTCTGACAGTATCATGCTCCCTCAGCATTGACCCACCTCCAACAGTGCCATGCTCCCTCAGCACTGACGCTCCGACAGTGCTGACCCTCTGACATAGTGGCACTCTTCCATCAATGCATTGGAATGTGAGCCTAGCTTTGATCTCAGATCTCTAGAGTACGACTTAAACAGATTGTCTTCTGACACCCTGAGTGCAACCTAACTGGTCACTGGTCTGAATGGGTCCCTTTGTTTCCAGTCCAACACAACTAATTGTAAAGTGGTTGCAAACTGCAGACCTGCCTTTCTGAGGTCTCACTGGAATTTGTTAGTCATTTGTTTCCTGTACCTATCTTCCAGACACTGGAACAGCATTAAGGATGAAGTGCAGAAATTATTTGACCATACTAGTGACGATTTCACCCTGGAGAAAATCATTGAGCTTGGCTTGGAGCAACACTCTGATGCAATCAACAGCATCTCATCTGCAGCTACTAAAGAGCTCTCCATTGAAATGGTAGGCACAGCAACATAGCATCCAAATGGTTTCTAGCTGGCCGAGTTTTATTCTGTTACATTTAATGTCAGCAAGTCCCATTCCCTCCAATACTTCACTCAAAATGGGTTTTACCTGGTGATTGTCAGTGACCCTTCAGTGTCAACATTGGCTCACATTGCAGTCCAGTGGATCTGAATTCTCCACTGTCGTCTAAGCCAGCAAGTGATGTGTTGAATCCTCTGGTGTGTATTGAGTTATTGATGGGCTTGATTGATGGTTCTTTAACTGGTTTCCATACTCTGAGCTATAGAAACATGTTGTGAAAATTGCAAGGGTGCAAAGGAGATTTACAAGGATGTTGCCGTGGTTGGAGGGTTTGAGCTATAGAAAGAGGCTGAATACGCTGGGGCTATTTTCCCTGGAGTGTCAGAGGCCAATCGATGACCTTATAGAGGTTTGTAAAATCTTGAGGGGCGTGGATAGGGTGAATAGCCAAGGTCTTTTTCCCAGGATAGGGGAGTCCAAAACTAGAGGGCATGGGTTTAAGGTGAAAGGGAAAAATCTGTTTCCATGCTGTATGTACATGCACGGTGGCTCAGTGGTTAGCACTGCTGTCTCACAGCACCAGGGACTCAGGTTCGATTCCAGCCTTGGGCAACTGTCTGTGTGGAGTTTGCACATACTCCCCAGGTCTGCATGGATTTCCTCTGGGTGCTCCGGTTTCCTCTCTCAGTCCAAAGATGTGCAGGTTCAAGTGGATTAGCCATGCTAAATTGCCCTATAGTGTCCAGGGATGTGTGGTCTAGATGGATTAGCCATGGGAAATACAGGGATGGGGTAGGGGGTGGGTCTGGGTGGAATGTTCTTTGGAGGGTTGAATGGTGTGCTTCCACACTCTAGGGATTCTATGATTTTATGAGCTGTAAAGCTACTTTCCAAGGTCAGCAATGGGTTTGATGTCCTACGTGTGTGAATGTACCATGGCCATTTAGCAGCGAATCGCATGAAGGCCTATTCTGTTGGAGAAAGGATGGACTTCTAACTTGCTCTCACTCTTGGCGAAACCTCTGCTAAAATCAGTGACCTCAGGCAAATGGTCAGTTGGGCAGAGGTGCCAACCTGGTGATTGAGAGTCAGAGGAATAACATGTGTGAATGCCTTGGTGCCTGCAGGAAAGGAAGTGGGGATTTAGGGAGACTGAAGGATCTGGCGAAACCCTGGTGCTGTGGTCAGCTGGTTGCCCGAGGCTTGAATCGGCAGCAGTGCTAACCGCTGAGCCACCATGCCGCCCCTACTGCATGGAAACAGGCCCTTCGGTCCAACTCGTCCATGCTGACTAGATATCCTAAATTAATTGTACATCAATGGGAATGGGCTTACAGCATCAGTGAGGCTGGCTGACAATGAGGCTGCATTTGTACTCTCCAGCTTTAACAGAAGATTAAACTGATCTTCAACAGTGTTCTCTCTTGACAGGCTTTGGAAGGAATAAAGAAAACCTGGGAAGTTACTGTTCTTGATCTCATGCCTTACAAGGACAAAGGGCATTATAAGCTGAGGTAGGTACTTAACAAAAATGTTTTGCATTTCTTTAGCACCACTAGCAATGTGAAATTTCTTGGGAGCTGAACCATCTCAGTATCAGTAAAGTGATCAAAAACACAAGGAGAGAGATTGAGGAACATAGAGATTTAGGAAGGGAATTGCAGAACTTAGGATCTGGGTAACTGAAGATGCCAGAATTGGAGAAGCATTTCAACGTGGACAGGTTGTAGGACTGGATGAGTTTTTTTTATTCATTTCGGGGATGTGGGTGTCACGGGCAATAAATATTGGTTCAACCAATTCCTAATTGTTAAGAGTCAAGTTAAGCACATTGCTTTAGGTCTAGAGTTGCATGCAGGCCAGAAATTTCCTTCCCTAAAGGACATTGGTGAATCAGATGGGCTTTTCTCGACAATGGTTTCATGCTCATCATTAGACTCTTGCTTCCAGATTATTATTGAATTCAAACTCCACCATCTGCCTTGGCAGGATTTGAACCCCAGTCCCCAGAACATTACCTGGGTCTCTGGATTAATATTCTAGTGATAATACCGCTAGGCCATCAACTACTCCTAGATTGGGAGGGTGTAAGGACTTGGGGGCATTTGAAAACATGGATGAAAATTTTAAAATTGTCTTTCAGTCTGGCAATGCCTCAATGTTGAGTAGAGAGCACAAAGACAGAAATATAAAATAATTTCTGGGGATTGCAAATGCCTCCACATCCTTTGCAATGTAACGGACAGATCATGGGCTGAATAGAGTCTTCCCAAATACGTTTTGCAAATTCTCTGATTGTATTGGGCTGGAAATCTTTCTCCTAAAGTGAGCAGTGGTCACAGTCAGAAATTTCAGGACTCCAATACATTAGAATAAGGATAGTACAAGGTATCAGTGCCACATCTGTGAATTGAAGTTCTTATTCATGCAACAAAAACAGAAATTATTGGAAAAACTCAGCAGGTTTGGCAGAATCTGTGGAGAGAAATCAGAATTAAAGTTTTGGGTCTAGTGACCCTTCAGAACTCTTATCCTTGCAATCTGGATTGTCAGAACTGAGTGCTGAAGGTAACTGCCATTATACAAGAGAAACCTTCACCAGAAAACTGATGAGAATGTGTAAGGCACTGCCACAGGGAGTGGTTGATAAAAATATTTAAAGACAATCTGGGGAAGCACACAAGGGAGGAAGAAATAGAAGACTCTGTTCATAGAGTGAGATCAGATAAGAACAGGAAGAGATTTGTGCAGAACAGAAACTGCACAGATCATTTGGGCTGAATCTTCTGTTTCTGTATTCTATATTCTATATTCTGTCTACTGTGAGAACAGTCAGAGATGGGAGAGTGGGTAAAAAAAACTCTCAAAAATAAAATCAAACCAAGCTCTTCAGATTCTGCCTGAGTACATAGCAAACAAGAAACCAGGCTAGCATGCAATGCACACAGAAAGCAGCAGTAAGCCTTTCAAGCGCAGACAAAAATCCCAGTTATTACTCGAAGCTTACTTATTAAATTGCTAAAAGAAAAGCCAGCAGTCAGAAAACCAGACCAACAAGTGGCCAAAGGCTGAAAAGTGAAACTGTTGTACAAACCTGCTAACAAGTAACAGCTGCTTCACTGTTGCTTTAAGATGCTTCGTGTTTTGAATTTGGCCAGATTCAGTAGGTCAGTCTAATTTGTAACTTGTGCAGTGATTGCTCAGAGCTAATGTCTCCCACTCCTGTGTAAGTTGTGTCTCTCGTGCATGCGGCCTGCTGGATGATATTAATAGTTGGCAGGTGTACAGCCAGTTGCTGAACCATGGAGCACGTATGGCCTATTGACCGCATGGGATACACGCTGATTGCAGGCGAGCAGCTAACTGCAAGCCACACTGCCGGCGTTGGCGTGGATGAGCTGGTGCTGATGTGCCGGATACCTATTTAACACCCCTGCCGACTGTCCCTGCCTCTTGCATGGTGACTGTCCCTTCCCTCGGCTAACCTCTCAAAGTGCCAGTTAGAGAACCAACCCGCTTCCTGATGGATGCCAGCGGTTGCCCTGTTGCTATTAATACCTTTCTTTTTATACACAGAGGAACTGATGAAATCTTTCAGGCCTTGGAGGAAAACCAGCTCATGTTGTCGACCATGAAAGCTTCTCCCTATCTGAGGGCATTTGACAAGCAAGTGGATTATTGGGAACGGTGCCTGTCTCTGATTCTCGAGGTGATCGAAATGATCCTGACTGTACAGAGGCAGTGGCTGTACCTGGAGGTAACTGGCACTTTCACAGATCTATTGCAGTCAGTGACTAATCTCTCAGAACGAATACACTGTCCTGTTTCAGTTTATGAAAGGGGTCCCAGAGCACTTCACAACCAATGAAATGCCTCCAGGGATGTAAATAAAAAAGTGACAGCCAATTCGATGACAGGAAGCTCCCAAAAACAGCAATGTGACAATAAGCTGATCACTGGCTTGTAATAATCTTGAATGAGGAATGAATATTTGCCCCAGACCTTGGGAGAACTCCTCAGCGCCTCTTCAAAAGATTCTTGGGTTCATTTCTCACCTGTTCAAAGTGAGGAGTTAGAATCCTTTTCCATGTTTGACAACACGCACTATACAGGATTGTGAGCCTACTGCTGAGAGAGACTCTCTCACCAATGTCCTCCAATCCAGCGACTGAGTGGGAATTCCTCAGATTTCAAGATGGTAACATGTGTGCAGAGTTTGTTTATACTGTACACAGCAGGTGGATACAGACATGGCAAGGCAGTTAACACCAGAAGATGAATATTCTGCCTGATACCGAGCTGTACAGACTCCCTGAAGGCCCTAGTTTCCATTTCCAATCTGTACCCCAATTGATGGCCTCAAGCAGTAGGTGTCAGGATCTGTAGCCTCAAGAGAAGTCCTCAGCACACTAATGAGAGGCTGAGAGCCACTCAGAAGATAGTGATGACACATAAAAACCTTTTTTTGTTTGCTGCAGAACATTTTCCTTGGAGAGGACATTAGAAAACAGCTTCCCCGGGAGTCGGCGGTGTTTGAGAACATCGACGCACAGTGGAAGGTCATAATGCATCGTCTGGTCCAGGAACCCAATGCCCTTCGAGGAACCCATCACCCAGGTGTGCCCACTTCTAGGCACTGCACCTCAGAGAGGAATCCATTGGAGTTTTGCTGGAGTCAGAACTAGGGGTTAATTTATTCCTTATTATTAGCTTGGTTCATTCTCCCTCGTGTTGGACAATTCAGGGCTGATCTAATTACTTGAGATAATTGAAAGATTTGATGAGGCAGATGCGGGGGAGCTATGTGGGGGGAGGAGGGGTGATTGTGGTCAAAACAAGACTGGGGACTGCAGCAAAACTATCACCTATGGAACTGGACCTTAGCAAAACAGAAGAAGCACAGAAATGGAGAGATGGTTAAGAGTTAGAGGATGAAAGTCAGACTGCAGTTGGTATTGAAACCCACTGTATCCATGTCCTTGGTCTTGTCCCGCTGAACCAATGCTAGCAGCCAATTCCAACCCCTAGTTCCTGTTCTCTGAGACTCCCTACATATTCACTTAATCCTGCCACTTCCCTCTGCACTTTTAAAGTTGGACATCAGTTATATTTTTGCTTCTTTATTAACCGCTCCTCACCCTGTCCCTCTCTGCCACCCACTCTGTGCCTTTCCTTTATGATTCTTACAGGGACACCTGCTAGTTCTTAAAGTGACTGCGTTTAGCTGTCATTGTTACTTCCTGCAGGTCTGTTGGACACGTTGAATGGTATGAACGCAAAACTGGAAGAGATTGAGAAATCGCTTGACATGTATCTGGAGACCAAACGCCAGATTTTTCCACGTTTCTACTTCCTGTCCAATGACGACCTGCTGGAGATCTTGGGTCAGTCCCGCAACCCACCGGCAGTGCAACCCCACATGAAGAAATGCTTCGACAACATCAAAAGCCTCAAAATGCAAAAGGTAGCATCGCTCAACCGCCACTGACCCTACACAGGGTTTCTCGGGTGATATTCGGTGTATGTCTGGTACTTCTGTGCAGACTTGACTGTCAAGTGATTTGCCACATTACACCCAAGTACAGATCTATCTTGATCCGCATCACACCAGTCACCGAACCCCTCCGGGTCTCGTCTGTGCCCCTTACTGCTCTATAGTGTAGCCCTTGCTGTTTTCACGAGCTCTTCCCCCCCCCTCCCCCCCACCCCACACCTTGCCCTGGACTCAAGTTAAGGTTGTATCCTCCCAAAGGAGCTGGAACCAGGTGAGCTAAAGGGTATTAAGAGGCACAGACCACACCATGTGGCGGTGAGTGACTCCGTCCTGTGAAGCCTGTAAATTAACCAACATCCTGTCTGACTACCTAACTGGGCATTTTATTTGCCTGGTACTATCCTACAGATTGCCATGGTGATTTTGACTTGGTGATCTCCAGATAGCAATGTAACCAACACTGCTGAGTGTACAGATTGGCATCACTGTGACCTGTCTCTCTAGGTCGGGACCACCACCAAAATGGAAGCTGCCGGAATGTTCGCCGCTGACGGAGAGTACGTGGAGTTCAAACATCCCACCCTGCTCGAGGGCCCTGTGGAGGTACAGACATCTTCCATCTGCTTTTGCTGTCAGGGATTCTCCTGTAGCCTGAACCCAAGGTCATCGAGCTGCAGGCTCTGGAGTCAATCTGTTGAGACCCAATGAAACCACTCGCCCCACCTCCATATGTGCTCTCACATTCATTGGCTATCAGGGCTACTTCTGTCATATACAGCGTGACCACTTTTCAGTCCATTACATTCTGTGTGAAACCAGTGCCTTATCTTTAAAAGGGAGTAGATATCATTTAACTTTAATAAACAGGGCAGCACACTTACTAGAATTAGGTATTACAGGTTTGGAGTTACAGTGCTAAGCTCTGTCTCTGGCCTGCACTGTCAACAAGTGCAGCTTCTGGCTGGGAGCACAGAACTGCTTGTCATCTCTTCATTGGATAATATTCCTGTGTGACGTCAGAGCCTTGGGGGTGCAATTATATTTACTGCCACTCAAGGACAACTCATGGCTTTTACAGGAGGCAAGCAGCCAATTGTCCTTGTGTATTCCTCTGCTGTGTGCTGCTATGTACTTTAACCAGCTGCTTCCCATTTATTCAGCCCCTACACATGCAGCACATTACTCCGAGTGCTGGGTTTAGGACCAAGAGCAGCACCGGGCTAAAACGACTAGGAATGTTGGCCAGCCCCTTGGGTCATCACAGCAACCTGAGACAAACCAACCTGCACATCAGAACGGAAAGGCTGCATGTTAAGTTCTAATTGATTTGCAATTCATGATTTCAGTGGATCCCACATGGGAAGGGGTATTACCCTTTGCATAACTTTTCTGGCTCTAATAAATTCTCCTCTTTTGAATCTGTCACATTCGTGCTGGAGAATTGTTCCTTGGGGAGTGTGTGCCCTCCACCATCTGAGAATCATAGAATCCCTACAGTGTGGAAGCAAGTCATTTGGCCCATCGGGTCCACACTAACCCTCTGAAGAGCATCCCACTCAGACCCAGCCCCCTACCACATCCCTGTAACCCTGCATTTCCCATAGCTAACCCACCTAGCCTGCATGTCCTTGGGTACTATGGGACAATTTAATATGGCCAATCCACCCTAACCTGCACACCTTAGGACTATGGGAGGAAACCGAAGCACCCAGAGGAAACCCACACGGACACCGGGAGAATGTGCACACTCCACACAGACATTTGCCCGAGGGTGGAATCAAATCCAGGTCCCTGGTGCAGTGAGGCAGCAGTGCTCACCACGGAGCCACCGTGCTACCTCATCTCTGGTCATCACTGTTCAAGGCAGTGAGCAGTGACATGCTATTTCACTGCAGCAGCTTCACTATTCAGTGACGTGTACGCAAACCTGTCCACACACACTTGCACCTTCTCTTCTCTAACACAAGTCAGTAGGGAATGACTGCCCAAGAGACTTCTCCAGATCGTAAGTAGAACAGGACTGAGATATGTTAAATCAACAGGCCAAGGAGATGTTCCAGGTCTGTTGTTCCAGGTAATGCTGGGAAGTCTGGGTTGAAGTGATATGGACCTCACCTGTTCTCATCATTTTTTGCAACATGCTCTTGTCCCCCAGGCATGGCTCTGTGATGTGGAACGCACCATGCGCTTTACTCTCAAAGACCTGCTGAAAGACTGCCGATTGGCTCTGAAGAAAATGCTCACCAGGCGGGATAAATGGGTGAAGGATTGGCCTGGTCAGGTCAGTCATGGGCTTTCTGCAGAAGGAGGAGTACGCTGAGCACGAAAGGAGCGCTCATTATTTTTCAGATCTGTGTCTGACACAGTGGTTTTTGTCTTATGCTTTTCAAGAGCTTTTAGAAACATGCTAAAGTCGTCCCCATACAGTTAATATATTTGAAGTGCAATAGCTACAGCCAAAATGTAATTTTGTCATTTACACACAGCAACATGGCAAAAAGCAGGTAATCAAAGGAATGTCCGATCAGTGGCTTTCACTAAGGGAGGGTTTGACTGGGCCGCTGTCATTTCAGATAATGACATTGAGTAGTCAATAACCAAAAGGGCAGATGGTTCAACGCTTCACTTCAAATATATGATGTCTCTCAGGATCTTGCTGTCTCACTACAGACAGACATGCTGTTGGTACCAACAGTAACAAAGGAATATTGTTAATACCACACAGTCTCAGTAAGTGACAGGAAGACCTTTAATACCACACTCCCTCAGTAACAGACAGAAACTCCATTAATATCACACTCGCTTGGTAACTTTTGGGAACAGCATTAATAACACACTGTCAGTAACAGATACAGGAATACTGTAAATGCCACACTCAATCAGTAATAGATAGGAATTCGGTTAGTACCACAGTTTCTCAGTGACGGGGGAATACCATTAGTACCACATTGTCTCAGTAATACACACAAGAGCACTGTTAATACCACAGTCTCAGTAACAGATGGGAATCCTGTTAATACCACACTCTCTCAGGAACTCCTTTAATACCACACTCAGTAACAGACAGGAAGATTTTTAATATCAAATCCCCAGTAACAGACACGAACACTGTTTTAATACTGCACACTCCCTCAGTAATAAAATGATGACCATTAATGTCAGACTCTCGGTAGCACACAGGAACACCATAATACCACACTCCCTTAGTGACAATCAGGAACGATGTTAATACCACACTCTCTCAGTAACAGAAGGGAATTCTGTTAACACCCCACTCTCTCAGTAACAGAAGGGAATTCTGTTAATACCCCACTCTCTCAGTAACAGATAGGAATATCACTAATACCACAGTCCTTCACTGCTTGATTAAGTTAACTCAACCCATTTTCAGAGACTGTTACTGCATAGAATTAGATCTCTCTAACACCTAGTCTAGTTCCACTGGTCCAAAGATGGGGTTAATGTTTCATTATTTTCAAGTATTTTGTGTTATTTAAAAGTATTTTTGAACTATGTTTTGGCAGTTGTTTGTGGCAGATAAATTTCATATTTTAACTGCTTAGTAAGTAATTATTTTCAAACCAACCAGTGCTAGCTACCAACACTGTCCCAGGCACATATGGCACAAGATTAGGTGCAGACTAGGGTTCCCTCTACACTTTCCCTGTTAAACATTCCTAGGAAAGGTTCAGCACAAAGTTAGATGCAGAGTAAAGTTTCCTTTATACTCCCTACCAAACACTCCCAGGGCAGTGTCATGACCCAAATGGGTTGTGTGCTGGAAATTATGTCCGGCCATTCCTGGAGTTATTACAAAAGTTAAAGATTCTAAAAAGGATGCAAAAGTATCCCAGTTTTCTTGATTTTCAGACTCAGCTGATAGAAAGCATGGAACAGGTTTGTGTATTGAACAAGAATCACTATTTGTTGCAAGTAACTAGACTATAGCTCTAGGTAAACAGTTATAAACCTTCAGCATAAAACACTACAAATTAAGATATTCAGTGACCCAAGAACCAATCACACACTTGTTGGTAGGCAAAAGGCCTTTGTCATTGATAACTGGTCGCTGGTCCATAGGCCCATCAACATGTTGTTGCCAGCCAAAGCTCCATCTAATCACAGAATCCTTTGGTTTCAGTCCGTCTGCAACCTAAACTTCAATTACTGCTGTTTAAATGATGTCTGCCGTAAATGTCAGCTTAAGAATTTTCCAACAGCAGCAATCTTCACAACACACTGGTGTTAAACAGTTCCTTCTCTTTTCAGTCAACATTTCTAAAAAGCACAAAAATAAAATGGCACAGTCTTTACATAAGGTACGGCACAGGGTTGGATACAGAGTAGAGCTTGCTCTGCATTGTCCACATCAAACGCTCTCAGGATAGGAACAGCACAGGGTTAGATACAAAATAAAGCCCTCTCTACACTGTACCCCATCAAGCACCCACAGGACAGGGACAGCATGGGATGAAGTACAGAGTAAAGCTCCAATAATTTGCATGCTTGTATTGTTCCTGAGAGAGACTGTTACTACTCCTGTTGTTCTGAATCTGCCCAGTTAAAAGTGGTAGTGACAGCTTGGATAGGCCAGAAGATGGGTACAGTTGACAAAACTATTTAACTCATCCATTAGCTTATAGTCTGCCTGATGTAGCAGCCAACTGTTTGTTAAATAACTCCATGTTGTCTTCTTATAGATGTCCATTGCTGCTATTCCAAGGGCTCCTTACTCGCTGTTCGGGGAATTCCTATATTTGATTTCCATGATTATTCCACACCCTTTCAGTCTAGCCAACATTCTGTCCTTCATTTAATCGCAGATGCTTATCACTGCAAGCCAGATTCAGTGGACCACTGATGTGACCAAGGCTCTGATGACAGCCAAAGAACAAGGCGAGAAGAAACCTATTCGTGTTATTAAAAGGAAGCAGGTGCGTTGAGCTTGTGGGATCTCCATTGGTGATGCAGAGATCTGAATTCTGGGAGGGCCAACATATTTCTTTTCCAAGGGGGAGACTATATACTGACTGTCCAAGAACTGCTCAGTGCTCAGAGGTCTTCTTCGCAGTGACCTATGGATAGCCTAGGGTTAGGGTGAGTCAGGTTATAGCTCTTCTTAAAGCAGAAAACACAGAGAGGAGAGGTGGGGGATATGTTTAAAATTATGCAAGGTTTACACAACTTGGATGCTGAGAACCCATCTCCAGTGGCTGACAGGTCAGTAATCTGAGCCGACTGGCAAAAGAATTAGGAGGTACATGAGAGGGAAGAAGGCCTTCTTTAGACAAAATAGAGTTAGGATTTGGAATATGCTCTCTGGGAGATTGGTGGATGCAGATCTCACATAGCTTTCAAAAGGAAATTAGATAAATCTTTGACACAAAATCCAATTCATGGATATGTGCAAAGGACAAGGTAGAAAAACAGAAATGTGAAATGAACATAAGAACATAAGAACTAGGAGCAGGAGTAGGCCGTCTGGCCCTTCGAGCCTGCTCCGCCATTCAATAAGATCATGGCTGATCTTTTCTTGGACTTAGATCCACTTACCCGCATTCTCACCGTAACCCTTAATTCCTTTATTGTTCAAAAAAAAATCTACATTTTCTGTAAAAATGCGTTTACTGAAGTAGCGTCAACTACTTCACTGGGCAAGGAATTCCATAGATTAACAACCCTCTGGATGAAGAAATTCCTTCTCAATTCAGTCCTAAATCTGCTCCCTCTAATCTTGAGGCTATGCCCTCTTGTCCTAGCTTCACCTGCCATTGGAAACATTCTCTCTACTTCTATTTTATCTATTCCCTTCATAATTTTATATGTTTCTATAAGATCCCCCCTCAATCTTCTGAATTCCAATGGTCAGACTAATATGTCAAAAAAGCTGAGACTGGTTGGATGGGCCAAATAACACTTTACTGCACTTCTCTATGATTCTATATTTGGTGGAAAAGTTGGCTGAAGTTCGTCCAGGAGCAGTTTTTTTTTTGTCAGGTATGCTTGCTGCTGTGAGCTTGTACAGATGCACTTCAGTAGCATCACGAACTAGTGACAATAGCTTGCCGTGCTGTTGGGAATTGTCAGCTGCAACAATGGGCTTGCCGTCACTAGTGTCCACTCTGACCCCAACCTTCGCCCTCATTCATCAGCTAGGTTCCCACCTTGTTTTTGGAAACATAATATCTGTGCTCTATTCTGTTCCGCTGCAGAAATTGTCCCAATGTTTGTAGTCTATCCTGACATTTTTTATGTATTCCTAGGGGATTGTGAATTCATTGGATTGCTGTATCTTTTTTATCTGATTTATCTCTGAACAATGCAGAACTGATTCCAATTCTAAATACAAATCGTATATTTACCGAACTTTAAAATATAGAATTTACAAAAGTTTCACCAGACATGGTCAATACATGGAGCCCCAAGTTTTTTGGAACGTTTTCTTTCAATTACCTCTAAGCATGAAGTCAGTCATTTAACTCCAGTTTCACCCATCTTCTTAAGCAATCAAGTACAATTACATAGGTCAATAAACAGGCCAACACAATCATTTCCAATTACCATTAACACTGCACAGGGGAATCTATGCTGGATGTACTATTGTAGGGCTTCCAAAAGTGCAGGCTCAGGACCCCAAAGCAGTCATTTTGCGTTTGAAACCTCCAAGACAGCAATGGTCCCACTGGAACTCTGCCTGAGTTATGACGGCTGTGCTCCAGCTGTAGCAGGCCCCCACCTTTTCCATGCCACTACCCATTACCCTGACTCTCACAGTCTCCCTGACACGCTGTCTCAGGTCACACGGAGGGGGCGCAACGACTTTCTGGCCTCAGAAATGAGGTCACAGTGGGCTAAATGTTTGGGAGCACTACACTAAAGATGTTGGGGGCTGGGCAGGAAAGGAGAAGACAAAGAGAGAGGGAGAGGGCAGTGGGAAAGAAGTAACCCTGTTAGAATTATGATTCGATGGCAAACCCTAATCTTAATGTCACTGCCTCTGCAGGTGAGCATGCTGCGCAAGTATTCCGAAGCTATCCGTGGAAATCTCACTAAGATCATGCGCCTGAAGATTGTGGCTTTGGTGACAGTGGAAGTTCATGCGAGAGACGTTATCGACAAACTGTACAAGCTGGGGTGTATGGACGTGACTGCGTTTGATTGGCTCAGTCAACTTCGCCTCTACTGGGACAAGGTAGATGGAGCATCTTTATCCAAATCCAAACCTGAACTCATCTCCACTCCCCTCTCAATTTTATTAGAAATGTCTCCTCCCATACTCTGCCAGTGATCTCCCTATTTTCATCTCAATCCCTGCATGTGGCTGGCCAGCATTTGTTGCCCAGCCCTTGAAATGAATGGTTACTAGTGTGTTTTTGGAGTCAAAGTACATCACTATGGGATATAAATGCAGAAAACAATGGACGTTCGGCTGGCTTTCCATTAAAGTTGAAGATCCTTGACGTGGAATGTTAACTCTTGTTTTCCTTGTCCACAGAAGCTGTCTGACCTGCTAAGCATTTTCCTCATGGTCTGTTTTTATTTCAGATTATGGCATCCACAATACTCTGATGCCAGACCCACACAAATGTGGAAAGTCCAGGGGAAAGGGCCTGAGTGAACTAGTTGGTTTTTATGACAATCCAGTGTGCACCTTTACTGTGAGATAGTAAGAACTGCAAATGCTGGAGTCAGAGATAACACAGTGTGGAGCTGGAGGAACACAACAGGCCAGAGGAGAAGGAAAGTTGGCGTTTTGGGTCAGGATCCTTCAGCAAAATGTTGACTCCTGCTCCTCTGATGCTGCCTGGCCTGCTGTGTTCCTCCTGCACATTTACTGTGATTAGTTTTTTTTTAACTAATTTCCTGGGATATTGTAGTAAGATTTAATCTCATGTAAGTCATAGGGACATAGGATTAGTAGTAGGCCATTTGGCCCTTGAAGCCTGCTCTACCATTGTAAAATACTATTATTTTTACAGAGTTTCTGCCTGTTATTGAGGGAATGCAGTATCAGCGGAGTTCTTGTCTATTACTGAGGGAGTGTGATGTTAATGGAGTTATTGTCTATGCTGAGGGAGTGTGGTATTAACAGTTATTGATAATTTTTGAGAGATTGTGGTATTAAAGGCGGTCTTATCTATTACTGCAGAAGTGTGGTATTAACAGACTTCTTGTCTATTATTGGAGTATAGTATTAAAAGGGTTCTTCACTATTACTAAGGGAGTTCCTGTCTATTGCTCCAATAAGATCATGCCTTATTGTGGTTTCAGTTCCATTATTCTGTCTAACTCTTCAAAACACTTAAGTTCCTTATCTACCAAACATCTATCTAACTCCGCATAGAATAATGGCCATTCATGCTTTTGTTCCTTACAAGGTACAATCTTACAGGCAGAGATTGCCCACCAAATTTCACACAAGTGAAGTAGCATAGGTAATACCGCTGGGATTGCGAGTAAGGCTATGTGACTTTAGGTCATTACAGACAAACATAACCCTGTGCTGTATCCCACAGACATACCAACCTCCTACCAGAGTCCTGAGGTAGTGTGTTGGCTGAATTCAGCAGAACACAAATGAAGGATTCAAGTCCAAATATTTACTGCTGTGCACAGCTCAGCTGCTTGTTACTTTGCAGCGATGTCTGTGCATCTGTGTCATTAAGTGTGGGTTAGGTGCTGGAGGGTGGGAAAGGCCAAGAGAAGATACAATAAATCCAGAAGTAGTATGTAGGCCAACACACAAACTACCCCAGAGATGAACTATTTTCTTCTGTTAACATCTACCATTAACACCTCCACTTCATCTATGTCCCTCCTCTACTACCATGAGTGCTCACTTTGCATTTTGCTCTGGGTATTCTAATCATCTTTTCATTTTCTCCTATTCCCCTTCATCAACAGTATGAAAGCCATCTTCGGGGTGGCATGGTGGCTCAGTGGATAGTAGTGCGCCTCACAGTGCCAGGGACCTGTGTTCGACTCTAACCTTGGGTGACTGTCTGTGTGGCGATTGCATGTTCTCTGTGTCTGTGTGGGTTTCCTCCGGGTGCTCTGAATTCCTTCCACAGTCCAAAGATGTGTGGGTTAGGTGGATTAGCCATGGGAAATGCAGAGTTATAGGGATAAGGTAGCAGGGTTGCGTGTGGGTGCAATGCTGTTTGGAGATTCGGTGTAGATGCAATGGTCTGAAAGGCCTGGTTCCTGCAGGGAATCTATGATTCTTCCAGGTGCCTTCCATTCTGGGAAGAGTCATATTGGACTCGAACCCTTCACTTTGTTTCTTTCTCCAAAGATGCTGCCGAAGCTGCTGAGTTTCTCCAGCACTTTGTTTTTACTTCAGATCTCCAGCACCAGCAGTACATTGCTTTTATCTGAGAGCAACTTCTATAGGTGACCTTATGATAGCAGAGAACAGTGACTTTTTGTTCCTGTCATTTGTCGGATTAACGGGTGGGACGTGGATGTGCTTGGAACATTTTTGGACAGTCTACATTGTTTTTCTTTATCACAGGATGTAGATGACTGCATCATCCGTCAAACCAACACCCATTTCCAGTATGGGTACGAATACCTGGGGAATTCCGGCCGATTGGTGATCACTCCACTCACAGACAGGTAAGGCTCGGTGCTCCCCTTTCACTGCGGGTGCGATTGTGTCCTGTCCTAGGAGGCAGAAGGGTTTGGAAGGGGTGACATGTTCTTGTCCTGTGGGAAGAGCACCATAGTCACCATTGGGAAAGTTGGTGTGTGTCACAGCAGCACCATCAGTATGTGGAGGAAAAGTAGTTTACTGTTAATTCAGGATGTATTTCTCTCTGATTATCTTTTTGGAGTGTTATGGACCAAACCAGGCCACCTCAAACTATTTTAAGAAGGTAGCCCAGACCCTATCTTTTTATTTTAAAGGTAGATGTTAAGTGCTGTATTCCAGGTGTGATGTGACTGGTTAAACTACTCGACGTTAAGCAAAATACAATTTATTTAAACACTATAGTCAAAATACAAACAAAAGAAAGAGGAATCTAGAATAACTTAACTAATGGAAAATTGAACCGAATAATTGATACAATAACAATTACTAATTGACAGTTCCAATATAGTAACAGCCCATAAACACAACTCTTGGCAAAAAAGGCAAATTCAGACACAGATTCTTACATGCAGTTCTCCAATCCAGGAGGAAAAAAATCATCGAGAAACCCAGAGTAAGTAGCAGCCAGGAATCGTTCACTGAAGCTCTCAACTCTTCTGGGATCCCAAACAGCTTCTGACTGCTACCGCTAAGAAACAACTAGCATGGTCTGTGAGAGCTGGCGACTCCCATTCAAGCTGCTTCCATTGTTCCAACTTGTTAAAACATTCCTAAAGGCCACCTAAGTTGTTTACCTAGGCTGTCTTCAGTAGCCAGTACTGAGCCTCTGCCTTTACAACCTCTCTTCAAAAAAAAACCCAGGACAACATAACCTTTTTAAAATGACAGCATCGTCACAGGAGCCCTTGTTGTTATTCATAGTGTTTAAGCCAAATTACTGCATAATAAAGTATTTGTTATAGAAAAAATGTTATCAGGAGTAGATGTTACTATCACTTTGTTCGGTGAGTTCTCAAGGCGAGAGATATCCACACTACGCAATAACATAACTTCTCGTTTTCCTGTCAGACACTCACGGAGCACGTGCCCCACATTGGGGAAATGCTACGCTCCTGACTGCAGCAAGTTTCAAAGCAGTTACTTGCTGTTGCAGGTTTGTCTGCTTCAGGTGGACCTCAATGGAGGCCAATGCAACAGTTTCAGTACTCAGGCCTCCCGTGGTAGGTGTCCCATGCAGATACATGTATACTTCATATTGCACGCTGTACACCTTCCCCTGTGGTTTGTCCCAAGGCCAGTACAGATCAAGTCCTGTTCTGTGACGATAATGATAACCGAGCAGGATTTTTAAAAATTCATCATGGGACATGAGCGTTGCTGGCTGCACCAGCATTTATTGCCCATTCCTCAATACCCATTAGAAGGTGGTGGTGAGTTGCTTTCTTGAACCACCACAATTCATGTGCTCTAGGTAGACCCACGACACAGTAAGGGAGGGAATTCCTGGATTTTGACCCAATGACAATGCAGGAACGATGATATGTTTCCAAGTCAGGATGGTGAGTGGCTCAGAGGAGAACTTGCAAGTTGTTGTTTCCATGTATCTGCCACCCTTGTCCATCCAGATGGTAGTGGTTGTGACTTTGGAAGATGCTGCCTAAGGTACTTGGGGAATTTCTGCAGTGCATCTTACAGAAGGTACACATTGCTGCTACTGAGCTTTGGCAGTAGAGTAACTTTTTGCTGGTGGATGTGGTGCCAGTCAAGTGGACTGCTTTGTCCTGGATGGTGTTGAGTTTCTTGAGTGTGGTTGGAGCTGCACCCATCCAGGCAAATGGGGAGTATGCCATCATACTTCTGACTTGTGCCTTGTCGATGGTGGACAAGTTTTAGGGAGTCAGGAGGTGAGTTACTCGCTGCAGAATTCCTAGCTTCTGATGTGCTGTTGTGGCGAACATGTTTATATGGTGAGACCAGTTCAATTTCTGGTCAATGGCAACAACCACCACTCCCCCGCACCTCCACTACCCGCCCCTGCCGAAGTTGTAAGTGAGGAGTTCAGTGATGATGATGCCATTTAATGTCAATGAAGGTGGTTTGCTTATGTCTTATTGCAGGTAGTCATTGCCAGGCATTTCTGCAGCATGAATGTTACTTATCACTTGTTAGCCAAAACCTGGATATTGTCCAGGACTTGCTGCATTTGGACGTGGACTGCCTCAGTATCTGAGGAGTCACGAATGGTGCTGAACATGTTGTAATCATCCCCACTTCTGACCTTATGATACAGGGAAGTTCATAGATCATTAACGCTCCTCAGTCCAATGAATCCCCCAATGCTGCTTCATTCTGCACACAGCAGAGAGCTGGACATCATTATAAGTATAGCCTACACAGGGAGTCTCTCCATCCACGTCTCAGAAACACTGGTTTCTTCTTTTCAGGTGTTACATGACACTGACCACTGCTCTCCACTTGCACCGAGGTGGATCACCCAAAGGACCAGCAGGGACAGGAAAGACAGAGACTGTGAAGGATCTGGGAAAAGCCCTGGGCATGTATGTGATAGTGGTGAACTGTTCAGAAGGCTTGGACTACAAGTCGATGGGCCGAATGTACTCTGGCTTGGCACAGGTGAAAGGAGAACCTCAAAAATATAACAGAACATTGTCTTTGTTCTTCTGTATCAAGGAGTTTTGTTCCTTTCAGTAAAACAAACTCAATGCTAACGGAGCGCCGCACTGTCGGAGGGCCAGCGCTGAGGGAGAGTGCACTGTCGGAGGGCCAGCGCTGAGGGAGCGGGCACTGTCGGAGGGTCAGCGCTGAGGGAGCGGGCACTGTCGGAGGGTCAGCGCTGAGGGAGCGGGCACTGTCGGAGGGTCACTGCTGAGGGAGCGCCGCACTGTCAGAGGGTCACTCCTGAGGGAGTGCCGCATTGTCGGCAGGTCGGCGCTGAGGGAATACCACTGCATTGCATGTGTTACAACCATGACTTCACACCAAATGTGCTTCGTTGACAGTGAAACCCTTTTGGTTGTCCTATGATGTTGATATGTAAGACCTTTCTTTTATACCAGAGTGCGATTTCAGGCCCCTTTGTATTGTGTTGGCTGCATCATTTTCGGTCATGTTTTATGGAATGAACATTCAATGTATCTGATGTATCTGTGCAGACTGGAGCCTGGGGGTGCTTTGACGAGTTTAACCGCATCAATATTGAGGTGTTGTCTGTAGTGGCCCAGCAAATCCTGTCTATCCTGTCTGCTCTTTCTGCCAACCTGACACGCTTTGTCTTTGAGGGCCGTGAGATTAACCTGGTCTGGTCTTGTGGCATCTTCATCACCATGAATCCAGGTGAGTCTGTTGGAGTTATAGGGGCCAATGTGTTAGGACTAAAATGTTTGGTTGTTGGAGTGCCTCACCTTCACCAAATTAGAAGAAGTAATAGAGAGTTCTCCTGATCACGGAAGTGCAGTGCTAAGCATAGCTTCATTCCATTTGAAGCAGCAGACCCCCACTGAGGCAGCAGTCAGTAATTACAGAATCAGATCTTGGCAGCTATCCTACTAGTGAGAGAAAATTTATCCGGGACCCTGCTGTTTTTCCTACTGCCCAAACTGAATATGGGCATGTGTGGATAAGAGATGAGACCTGAATTGAGTTTCCCTGTCCCCAGGATTAATTTATGACCCTGGAGTATGGACCCCTTTAGGTAGCAGTGATCAGAATATGGTTGAATTTTACGTTCAGTTTGAGAGGGAGAGGAATGGGTTAAGATTACTGAAAAAGTGCAACTATGAGGGCAAGAAAGCTGAGCTAGTTGAGTGATTGATTGGGTTCTAGTGGCTGAATGGCCTCCTCCTGTTCCTGTTTCTGGCAGCATCAGAGAAGAGTAATAGCTAGCAGCCGGGTGAAGAGGCTTGGAGATATAACCTGGATGTTGTTTATTGCAGGATATGCTGGTCGTACAGAGCTGCCAGACAACCTCAAGTCGATGTTCAGGCCCATTTCCATGGTGGTTCCTGACTCAACACTAATCGCTGAGATAATCTTGTTTGCAGAGGGATTCAACAACTGTAAGGTGAGCTTCTTGTCCTCCCAATTTGATTTCCTCCCTTTTTTACATATTCTAAGTTACTTTGTCCATTTCATCATTTTTTGGGCTCCCACACCACCTGCCAGCCTCTCCTCCACACCACTCCGTCCACCACCCTCCTAAAATAAAACAGGGGCAGTATGAGTCAGCCTGCTCTCCAACCTTTGAAAGGGGCATCTCTCAGCTAACTCATAACTATCCACTGACATCAAGGTACGCAGGAGCAATGTACAACATCCTTGCAGTCAAAGCTTTTCTGCAAGGTGTTAACCTTTAGGTTATAAACTCTAAAATCTGGAAAGTTACAATGTACTTCACTGTGAACCTTCACAAAGATCTCTAGAAGTCACAGATAGACAGGGTAGTGAAGAAGCTGTTTGGTATGTTTGCCTTTATTGGTCAGTGCACAAAAGTACAGGAGTTGGGAGGTCATGTTGTGGCGCATAGGACATTGCTTAGGCCACTTCTGGAATACTGTGTTCAATTCTGGTCTCCCTGCTACAGGAAAGATCTTGTTAAACTTGAGAGAGTTCAAGAAAGATTTACAAGGATCTTTCCAGGTTTGGAGAGTTTGAGCTATAGGGAGAGGCTGAATAGGCTGGGGCTATTTTCCCTGGAGTGTCGGAGGCTGAGGGGTGACCTTATAGAGGTTTATAAAACCATCAGGGGCATGAATAGCCAGAGTCTTTTCCCCAGGGTAGGGGATTCCAAAACTAGAAGACAGAGGTTTAAGTTGAGCGGAGAAAGATTTAAAAGGGTCCTAAGGGGCAACCTTTTCATACAGAGGGTGGTGTGTGTATGGAATGAGCTGCCAGAGGAAGTGGTGGAGGCTGGTACAACTATAACATTTAAAAGGCATCTGGGTGGGTGTATGAATAGGAAGGGTTTAGAGGGATATGGGCCAAATGCTGGCAAATAGGACTAGATTAATTTAGGATATCTGATTGCATGGATGTGTTGGACTGAAGGGCCTGTGTCTGTGCTGTACATCTCTATGACTCCAAGTAGCAAAAGACTATTTAGCTTAACAAGTCTGATTGTCTGAGATTGATTTCAGGCCCACTAATCTGCCCTCTTCCTCCTTTCACGAGAAACACTTTCCATTCTCTCTCATTTTAGCTGTGCCTCCCGAGTGACTTCTTCAGATCTCATTTTATGCAGGAGGAGTTTCATGCATAGCCCTGCCAGCGTAGAATAGTGTATGTGCTTCTCTGCATTCTGGACTCTACATAGCAGCAAATAGCATGGTCACAGCTGCTTCCACAACCCCATATACTGCAGTTACATTTCTTCCAAAAGAGATAATGCCCAGCTTCTGGAATGGTTTCTCTCCTGTTGGTCAGTGCCCAATGGGATTTGGGTAGAAGACTGTCCTCAGCTTAAGTCACATGATGGCAGTAGGAAGCAGAGAACTTCATTTCATCGTTCACTGCTGGTTTTGAACCACTGAAAGATCATGTGCTATGTTCTTTTTGTGGGAACATGTAGATTCATAGAGTCATACAGCACAGAAACAGACCCTTCGGTCCAACCAGTCTATGCCGAACGTAACCTCAAACCAAACTAGTCCCACCTGCCTGCTCCTGGCCCATATCCTTCCAAACGTGTCCTATTCATGTGTCTATCCAAATGTATTTTAGACATTGTACCCATACCCACCACTTCCTCAGGAATCCAAAAAACTGATAAACTTAGAGAAGGGCTGGGATGTAATGTGGGCAGATTCTGATTTGATGAGGATTAGTTGTTCTTTTCTAGTCTGATTGATGGTTTGCTGACAGTCCTCTCCTGTCCCCGTGCAGGCCCTTGCTAAGAAAGTCTACACCCTTTACTCACTGGCCGTGCAGCAGCTGTCCAAGCAGGATCACTACGACTTTGGCCTGAGAGCTCTCACCTCACTCCTCCGCTACGCTGGCAAGAAGAGGCGAGACAAGCCTCAGCTCTCTGATGAGGAGGTAAGAGCAGGACAAGCAGAGCTGGGAATTGGCAGTTAATCTGCTCACTGGTGTTTAGGTAATGCTGTATCTGGGCAGATTTGAAGCTGGAGAGAGAGGCTATCAAGAAGATGCAGATTAGGTCGATAACAGAACTTAGAAGTTATGACCATTAAGACAGACATAATATGCTGGAGTCCTGTTTTTTAGGCAAGAGAAGGCTGACACTTCCCCTAATAGAGATTCTTTAAAATTATTATCAGTTTTGATAGGGTATACATCAAAAAAATGTTCCCATTTGTGGGGAGGCTAGAACTAGGCACCGTAAATACAGATAGCTGTGAATAAATCTGGTAGACAGTTCAGAAGAAACTTCTTTACCCAGATGGTGGTGAGAATGTGGAACTCACTCTGAAAGGGAGTGGTTGAAGTGAATGATATCAATACACTTCAGGGCAAGTTGGATAAAAATGTGAAGGAGAAAAGAATAGAAGGTTAACTGAGAAGGTAGGTAGAAAGGGGTGTTGGGAAGGCTCATGTGGAGCAGAAACACCAGCACAGAACAGATGGACTGAATGGCCTTTCTTTTTTGATGTAAATTCTGCTGAAAATCCTTCTTTCATTCAAGAACCATTTATAATTGCGTATAGGAGTTGGAAGGTAATGTTGTGGCTATACACAACATTGGTTAGGCCACTTTTGGAATACTGCATGCATTTCTGGTCTCCCTGCTATAGGAAGGATGTTGTGAAACTTGACAGGGTGCAGAAAAGATTTACAAGGATGTTGCCGGGGTTGGAGGGTTTGAGCTTTAGGGAGAAGCTGAACAGGTTGAGACTGTTGTCCCTGGAGCATCAGAGACTGAGGAGTGACCTTGTAGAAGTTTATAAAATCACGAAGGCCATGGATAGGGTGAATACCCGAGGTCTTTTACCCAGGGTAGGGGGAGTCCAAAACTAGAGGGCATAGGTTTAGGAGAGAGGGGAAAGATTTAAAAGGGACAACTTTTTCACACAGAGGGTGGTGCATGTATGGAATGAGCTGCCAGAGGAAGTGGTGAAGGCTGGTACAATTACAACATTTAAAAGGCATCTGGATGGGTATATGAACAGGAAGGATTTACAGGCGTATGGACCAAATGCTGGCAAATACGACTAGATTAATTTAGGATATCTGGCTGGCATGGATGAGTTGGACCAAAGGGTCTGTTTCCGTGCTGTACAACTCTGTGACTCTATGATGTGTTGTAAGGAGTTGCACAGGTAACAACGATGAGGTCGGACTATATTGGGGTTTGTTCACTTGTGTTATCTTGGTGATTGAGTGTTTCTGTTGATCTCCAGGTCCTCCTGTTGTCCATGAAGGATATGAATATGGCCAAACTAACCTCTGTGGACCTACCACTGTTTAGTGCTATTGTCCAGGACCTGTTCCCAGGGGTGGAAACCCCAGTCTTGGATTATGGAAAGGTGGGCAGTTCCCAAGAATGGAATGGAATTTCTCAGTGTGTTTATCAAGCATTAATTAAATGTTCTGTCTACTAAATTGTCCTCCCACAATCATTATGGTTGTCAGGAAATACACGCACATTACCAACTGAATTACCCAAGTTGCCATATTGTTAAAGGCGAACAAACAGGTGATTGTCCCCACCTCTGAAACAGGTAACCTCCTTTTGCATGTGTAAACATGTGTAACACCCTGCTTGGGGCCTTTGTTGTGAGATTGGTTTCACCGGAGGCAGCATCGATGCTAGCTTTGCTCACCAATGCTTTTCCACTTCTCTCCCTGGATTGCAGCTCCAGGAGGGAGCTATCCCTGACATTACTTCTTTGTGGGTAATAACAATCTCTGTGGCTGAACTTAATTATGATGAAGAGTCACCTAGACTCGAAACGCCAGCTTGGTTTCTCCCCATGGATGCTGCCTGACCCCCTGTAATCTCCAGCATTTTTTGCTGTCAGTTAGTTATGTCCTCACTCTCTCTCTGTTGGGGTCAGTGGATAATGATTGAGAGTGTGAAGCCTGACAGATTATCTCTCTTCTCAAGCCCAGGGGACGTCAAGGGGCAGTACTGGACCCCATGCTGGTCCCCAACTGAACAAACTGACTGTGAACGCTGAATAAACTGAACCATGGTACAATTGAGACAACAAGGTGCAGGGCTGGATGAACACAGCAGGCCAAGCAGCATCACAGGAGCAGAGGGGCTGACGTTTCGGGCCGAGACCCTTCATCAGAAAAGGGGGAGGGGAAGGGGGTTCTGAAATAAATAGAGAGTGGGAGGCGGATAGAAGATGGATAGAGGAGAGGATAGGTGG